CGAGCGCGCGCCGCGCATGTCGCTCGAGCATGCAGCGGCCCGGAGACCTCCGCGCACGAGGGCGCACGACGGCGCGGCGCGCTGCTGGGCGCCGGCAGGGGGCAGAGGCCTGAGGCCCTAGGCCGTGCAGCCCGGCACGCTGATCGAGTATGTCGTTCTGGTACCACGTGGGCGCCGATTGCGCCGCCTTCAGCTGCGACGCCTGCAGTGGCTACCACGAGCACGAGGGTTACAACGACTACGATGTCTCACCCTGCCGACCACCATGTCAGCGCCACTGCAGGAGAGCAGGCTGGATGGGTGGACCCACAGCGGAGACGAGGGAGGAGACAGGGGCTACAGTGACGTCCCGAACGTAGAACAGTACGACCTGGCAGTCGACGGATCCGATGAGAACCTCGAGAGGTAATTACGAAGAGAACGTACTCTCGGGGTCACGGACAGAATTCCGACAGACACGCTCGGAACACGAGGGCTAAAAGCAGAGAGATGAAAGCCACTGGCAGAACTACGAGGACCACCAACGAAGCTGTCAGAGCAACCACCTGAGCCCCGAGGACCACGAGCAGGGCTACAAGGGCCAGCGGAGCTTCGAGGACTTCCAGCAGAGCTTAGGGGACGACGCGCCGAGGTACGAGGGCAACAAGAAGAGCTTCCAGCAAAAGCTTCCAGGGCCACATGCAGACCTTCCAGAACAACCAGCAGGGCCAGCCAGAGCTACGAGGGCAACCGGCTGAGCTACGAGGGTTGCCTGCTGATAGAGGAGGACCACGTATTGATGTACGAGGTCCACAGCCTGAGTTTCAAGAGCAGCAAACAGAGCTCCGATGGCCAAGAGCTCCCCCAATTGGGCTACGAGGGCCACGAGCTGATCTACGATGGCAATATGCACAGCTCGGAGAGCCAGATGCAGGGCTACGAGGGCCACTAGCGGAACTACGCAAGCAACCGGCTGAACTACGAAGACCACGATGAGCTACAAGGGCTACGCGCAGACCTACTCGAGTCACCCGTACATCTAACAGAACACTAATTATGCAAAGCAGCGATAACCCCCAGCATAACCATGGGGGCCACCAGACCACCAGCTGAGTTACAAAGGTAACCTAACTGAGATACGACGGCTACAAGAGCAACCGGCTGAACTACCAAAGACTCTTGCTGATCTGGAATGACCTACCGCTAGTGTCACGAGGGCATCCTGCTGAGCTACGCGAGTAGCGAGCTGAGCCCTGAGGAGGGCCACAGGCGGAGTTTCGAGGGCCACAGGCTGAGCTACGAGAGCCACCAGCTGAGCCACGAAGTCACCTGCTGATCTACGAGGACCGTCTCCAGTTCTACGAGGGCCACAGTCTGTGCTTCCAGGGCAGCAAGCAGAGCCCCAAGGAACACCAGCTGAGATACGAGGGCCTCAAGCGGAGCTACGAGGGTCACAGGCAGAGCTCCAGGAGCCACCTGAAGAGCTACCAGAGCCACCAGCTGTCCTACGAGGGCTGTAAGCTGTGCTACGGCGGCCACAAACAGAGCTACGACAATCACCAGCGAAGCTATGAGGGCCACAAGCTGAGCAACGAGACCCACTGGTAGAGCTGCTGGGGCCGCCCGCTGAGCTGCGAGGGCCACGAGGCGAGCTACGGGAACCGCACGAAGGGTCACGTGGACCACCAGCTGAGCTACCACGGACACCTGATGAGTTACTGAGGCCACAAGCTGCGCCACGAGGGCAGCCAACTGAGCTGCGACGGCCACGAGGGGCATCAGCTGATATACCAGAGGAGAGCCACCGCCGAGGCCACTAGGACAACTTGCAGAGATCCGAGGGCACCCGGCTGAGCTACGCTACGAGGACCGCCAGCTGAGCCACGAGGGCCACAACCTGGGCTACGCGGGCGGCAAGCAGAGGTTCGAGAGCCTCCAGCAGAGCTACCAAGGCGACCAGCTGAACTACAGGGGCCACGAGAAGAGCTTCGAGAACCACCGGCAGAGCTTCAAGAGCCACAGGCAGAGCTTCGAGGGTTCGAGGGCAACCAGCTGAGCTACGAGGGCCACCAGCTGAAATACCAGGGCCACAAGCAGAGCTACGAGAGCCACCAGCAGAGCTGCAGTGAAACCTGCTGAGCGTCCGCAGCCTCCTGCACAAGTCTGTGCTATGAGGCCCACAAGCGGGGCTACGAGGACCTCGAGCTAACATACGAAGGCCACAAGCTGAGCTACGACGGCCACGAGCTGAGCTACGAGACCCACAAGGAGAGCTTCGAGAGCCACCAACTGAGCTAGAAGGCCACCAGCGGAACTGCCAGGGTCTTGAAGAGCAGCCAGAAACACTGGCAGGCATACGAGGGCTACGCGCAGAACTTCCTGGGCAGCGCACAGAGCCACGAGAGCCACCTGCAGGTCTACGCAGACCGCCATCTGAGATACGAGGGCAACCAGCAGAGTTACAAGAGCCTCAAGCAGAACTCCCTGGGCAACGCGCAAAGCCACGAGGGCCAACTTCAGAGCCGCTTAAAGAGCCAGCAGTACTACGAGGGCTACGCGCAGAACTGCCTGGGCAGCGCGCAGAGCCACGAGGGTCAGGTGCAGAGCTGCCACCTCCATGGCCACCTACACGGCTGCGAGGAGGAAAGAACACGCCGATCGCTGCCAGTGACACAGGCTCGGCAAATGGGGCAAGGAATACTACGACTGCGCCATACTGGATCCGCGCGAACATACCCTACTACTACTACTACTACTACTACTACTACTACTACTACTACTACTACTACTACTACTACTACTACTACTACTACTACTACTACTACGACTACTACGACTACGACGACTACGACGACTACGACTACTACGACTACTACGACTACTACGACTACTACGACTACTACGACTACTACGACTACTACGACTACTACTACTACTACTACTACTACTACTACTACTACTACTACTACTACTACTACTCGCTGGGCAGACTTACGGTGCCGCAGCCCGACGCCCCGTCGCGCCCCAGGCGCTTTCCACCGCGACGCGGAAACGAGGAGAAAGGACATCGCAACGGCAAGGTGAGATCGGCCAACCTTGCGCCTCAGATCACAGCTCCTTCTGGAGATACCGACAGATGAAGAAACAACTTATCACCGACCACCTTGGGCGCCGAGCTGCTCAAGGCGAGGCCGGACAGGACCGATGCGAAGGCCGTCCAAATGAACTGAACGGTGAGAGCGGTCAGCAGCCTGACGCCGCACACTTGCCACCCCTTAGGGCCGCAGCCCCGAAACGGTGTGTGCTCTGCCTTCTGGTGCGGGCACTGCCTGGAAGCGTGCCCTCAGGGTCCGGGGGGGGGGGCAGGGTCCAAAGACTTCTCCCCTTGGGTGCTGCCTCGTGGCTGGGCCCCGCGACAAGGCCCAAGGCAGCTGCCCACATGGCTACAGTCAACACGTTTTACGATTGCTGATCCCTTTCTCCTTCCTCCGTTGCATCGGAAATTCGAGGAAGGTCTGGCCTACTCGTCTCCCCTCCCCTGGAAAGCCCCCAAGTCGCCGAACGTGCGGCCGCATTCGCGTCGGGCCTGCTGCCCGCCCTGTCGGGCGGCCGCGGGGGCGCGAGCGCGGTAGGATCGCTGTGGTATAGTGGTGCTCAAGCAAGCAAGAGGATGAATCTGACATAGGATACTAGCATGTTTCGACTACTGCGCTTCCGACAAAGAATGCCGTGCACAACGCTGCTTGCAAGCTAATTACTTCGTCGTCGTCGAGCACAGCATTTGCCACTGAGTGGCCCCGCCGCTCACCCTCATCAGTTCCCCATCCATCCTCCTGTGTGTAGAAAGACCTCCCAGATGGGGTCCAAGTAGGATGGGGTCGGAGGATCGCGCCGCATCGCCAACACCTCGGCGATGCATCGGTGACGTCGGCGGTGCACTGGAGACGCTGGCGTGTGGGGAAACTCGAGCTCCACATCGAGCCGCATCGCCGATGCGTCGGCGATGCGGCGCGATCCTCCGAACCCGTGCGCTCCAGCCCCAGCTGGGAAGCCTAGTGCATGTGCCTCGGCATTCAGGGCAGTCCGGGGAGGCCCTGCGCCCACCGCCCGCGGCGCACCCGCCAGCGCGCGGGGCGGCGTCGCGGACGAGGGATCGCTGACCGAGCGCTGCGTAGTGGAAGGATGAGGAGGAGACGGTTGGACCTGGGGCAGAAGAACATCCTCCAAGGACGTGAGGCCCTCCGCTGGCCAACTGAATAACATACGAGGGTAATCTCCCCGCGGATGCACAAGAACATCCAACAAACACGAAGAGCACTAGGATACCCTCCCCGAACCGACCTCGATCTCGTACCTCGGTCCAGCCGTAAGGGAAGTGCGAGGGATGGTGGCAAGCACGTCGAAGAGAGAAAGAGAGAGAGAGAGAGAGAGAGAGAGAAAGAGGACGACGGAGAAGAAATGGGCACATCGATCGAGACATTACCACGACCACCCCTCTGCTCAACCCCAATGTCCCCCCCCAAAACAACCTGGATCCAACATGGCCGTCCCTCCCGGCAAACCCTGTCAAGGGTAATTCTTTACCGTGTACATAAAAAATAATAACAAAGAAAAGGTCGACGACGTAGACTCGGAATAACGCAGGAGTGTGAGGATGAGTACACATTGGCGGTCGCCCTCCTCATCCTCTTCATCCTCCTCCTCCCTCTCCTCTTTCTCCCAATCCCCCCCGTCTCTTTATTCACGCTCCCAACACTCCCTGATGGCGAACCTCTCCTTTGCGAACCTCCGTCTATGCGACCGCTCTTTCCCCTCCGCCCCGTCCGGCTCCTCCTCCAGGGGAAGGGTGGAGCGGGACAAGACCGAGACGCCCCACGATGTGTGTTTTCGGTCCACGGGCTCCAGAAGTCTCGACCCTGTCACCCCGGAATAATTGTCGTCCCCGTCCATTGGTGATGGTGCAGAACTGGGCCCTGGAGACGGTCCTGAGATGCCGAATCATTGAGAAAGCCTGATGGATTTCAGGGCTACCTAAACAGGGACTTTGATGTAGAAGGATATTTGCCCGCCAGGGAAAACTGTAATTGTCGGTCGAATCACGATCATGATTGCATCGATCTCTCCCGCTGAATTTGGCAAAGTCTTGGTTTGCCATATTGAGGGCAACCGAACAGGGGGACTGGTTAGGGGGAGGGGGAGCAGGGAATCGGAATCGAAAATGCATCGCCAATGAATCGGCGATGGGCCTCCGATGAGGAACCCTAACGCTCCTGGGCAGCTCGGAGCACACCCTGCTCCGATCGAAGGGGCCTGGGCGGCCCGGGGTCGATGCGGCAAGTCCGCGCCGTGTCGACCCCAGCGTTGGTCCCTGACACAGGGGGGAACGTTCAACCTTGAAGGATCGGCCGCTTCCGAAACGTAGCAACGCTGCTGCTACTGCTGCCGGCGCACTGTTTACCTCGCAAGTGGGAGTCGGTGAACTCGCTCCCCGTCCGTGCGCCGCAGGGCCACGACCTTCAGCTCACCCCACTTGCCCGATGGCGCGCTGACGGGACGCGAAACGTCGGATCGTTCAGAATCGACCGAATTTGGGTCGCCGGCGGCGTTCAGCTGAGGGGCAACGATGGGGGGGACTGGCATAGGAGGGGGGTGCATCGACCTGGAATCGGCGATACATCTCCGATAGATCGACGCTAGGCCTCCAATCGTGAATCCGCACCTTCCTGGGCGGGTTGGGGCTATCGGGCCCCCATCGGCGATCAATGGGCGATTGGGGATCGATGCATCCCCCCCTATGCCTGTCCCCCCCTATCGTTGCCCCCGAGGATCGTTCAACATCGACCGAATTTGGGTCGCCAGCGGCGTTCAACGTCGAACGCTGGCGGCAGGGTCGCCGCCAGTCTACCGAGCTACCCCTCCCAACCCGAGAGAGCCGCCCCGTCGGCGCTGCTGGAATGTCCCGATTTCGGAAGGCCCGAGAACTAAAGACATTCCCCCTCCTGTTCCTCCTCCTCCTTCCCCTCCTCCTCCCCATCCCCCTCCCCCTCCCCCTCCTCCTCCTCCTCCTCCTCCTCCTCCTCCTCCTCCTCCTCGTCCTCCTGTCCTGGCCCTGGGACACACAAATAAATAGACACAGATAAAAGGATTCCCCATATCCCATTTCCCATATCTTAAGATATTTGCTGGAGAATCGACGATTCATTGTGTCCGTGTGTTTTTTCTTCCTGATAAAGACATTCCCCCTCCAAATGTCAGGGGAGGCAGCCTCCCAACTTCCGCCTCGTCCCAGGATCAGCCGGCATCGAATCGGGAACTCGGATCGACTCGAAGTTTGCGTCGAAGCGGGCTGCATCGGCACAGAGTCGAGATCGGATCGGATCGGCCGCACTAGGATGCACAGCAGCGCCGTGCAGGCATCGGGCAGAACCACATCGTCAGAACGTGGGAATCGAACCGGATCGGGCCGGCCAGAGTCAATATCGAATATAGGATCGATCGGATCGAAATGAGCCCTGCTTCCTCGTCGACTTCATCGCCGTATGTGTCGACCTATTCCCCAGGACTGGCTTTCCATCCTGACTCGATTCTGATGGTCCCAGGGTGCGGCGAGCGCCCTCAGAAGCAAACAAACTGCAAACCGCACGGCCCGTCCCGTATGTTCACGACGCGAGGAGGTCCGAATCCGCCTTTCCTCGTCCTCCTCGTCGTCGTCGTCGTCGCCCTCCTCCAGCGGCAGGCGGGCTTCCTTGTCCTCCTCGTCCTCCTTGCCCTCGTCCTCCTCGTCCTCCTCCTCCCCGTCGTCGTCGCCGTCCCCTTCCTCCGTCTCCTCCTACTCCTCCTTCTCCTCCTCCTCCTCCTCCTCCTCCTCCTCCTCCTCCTCCTCCTCCACCTCCTCCTCCTCCTCCCGCGGGAAACCGGCCTGCTCATGGGCCTCCAGGGCCCGACGGCTGAGCGGCTCCGCCTCCGCGAGCTTGCCTCGGGCCCCGCGGCCCCCCCCACAATCCGCCCCCACCACTCCTCCCCCCCACTCCCTCCTCCTCCTCCTCCTCCTCCTCCTCCTCCTCCTCCTCCTCCTCCTCCTCCTTCCTCCTCCTCCTTCCTCCAACTCCTCCTGCTCCTCCTCCTGCTCCTCCTGCTCCACCTCCCCCGAACTCCCAGACCTCTGCATTGCTTCCCCTTTGGTTATTTCCCCTTCTTCCTCCGCCTGCCCCCTCGTTCCTCTCATCCCCCCCTGACTCCTCCTCTTCCCTCCTGCTCCCCCCTCCTCCCTTCTTGCTCCTCGATTCTCCCCGCGCTACCCATCCCTCCCCGTCATATTTGTGATCTCTCCTCTCACTCCCTCCCCTTCACGCCTCACTGGCCCTCTTTATCCCTCCTCCCTCCAATTCCTGCAACGCATGCTTGTTGTACATCTGTCCCTGGTACTATTACTTTCTGTTTTGATCCACTACACTCTGCTCCACTCACTCCCCCTCAAACCATTCAGGGCGTAGGTATCCTCAACGTCCTGGTGCAGCCAAACGAGATGAGATCGCGAAGCA